GGTTTTGGTGATGAAGAGTCAAAGTTTAGGGGCTTGGAACATACTCATTTCAGGGCCTTGGAAAGTCACACTAGTTATCCTTGCCTTGACTTCTTAACCTACACCATGGGAATAGCACGTATCTCACAGTGTCCCATGGGATGGAATGTGTAACAGGGCATCTAAAGGTCATATGAAGAGGAAGGAGGGTCATTGTGCACAATTTCCAATGTTTGCATGGAGAAGAATAGCACTTTGGATGATACTATGGGTCAAGATGTACCAGGAACCATGAGCAAAAAGTCAGAACCAGAAATTTGATGCTCTCTTTAAAGCGGGCAGAAACATCATTGCTCTGAGATGCAAGAGTGTTGTTCTCTGTCTAGATTTGAATTTCAGCTCTAAGATGGTGACATTGTGAAAATGTGCAGATCAAACTGTTTGCATTTATCAAATAACACTTTGAAGGAGATGAATCTTTACCTATGGGTAGCCCATTAAAAATCTGAAGAAAGCCATGATGTTTAAGAGAATTCTAATAACAAGTGAATTATAAAAAGATACTTGTATGAAAGAGCCGACAGCCTGAATGATACAGGATAGAAGAGTCTTCTCAGATGCTCCCCTCTGCATGACCCCTGTGAGAAGCCTGATCTCAGAGTAGTTGGGGGGGATTTGAACACAAACCATAAAAAGTTAACAGGCTTGGCATAGTGGAGCACACTTTTAATCCCAACACTCAGGAGGCAAAGGCAGGTGGAGCTCTGTGAGTTTTAGGCCAGCCTGGTCTACATAATGAGTTCCAGGCTAGCCAAAGGTACATAATAAGACTCTTAAAAAAAGAAAAAAAAATTGAAATCAGTAGCTAAACCCTTAGCTAGAAACCTAACCACCTAGTTTTACAAAAGTAACTGTAATTACAATATGAAAGAGCAGGCTAGAAGCCAGGAAGAACTTCTCAACTACAGAGATAACTGGGAAGCTAGGGGAACCATTTTCTCTGAAGCCTTTTGACAAGAGACCACCGGGTAGGCAGCTAGGCATCTTGGGTAAGGGTATTCAGAGGCAAAAGCAATGACAAAGCAAGTTTTTGGAGGTCCCGTCCATCCATTGACTGCTTCAGCTCGCAAGGATGAAGCCCCCTGTGTCTCATACACACAATAGCCTCTTCACGGCTCACACATTGTCAGGCTGCCCATTTCTTCCCTGCTGGCACAGTACAGTCCAAGGTGTAAGCAGTGTTTTCACAGATTTCTGCATGTTCCACACTGGTATGTGAGAATCACTTCGCATCGCAGTTAGCAAAGAGGAGGAAATGAAGCTCACTCCCAAATTGGAGACAGGAGTGTTGTGTTTCACCCTCTTTGACAGCCAAAAGCCAATTTAGGACTTTCTACAAAGCCAGATTTGCCAGGGGGAAAGACATGTGGGTATCTTCTTAAATCTCCTAAGCTCAATCAGTGTTTGCTGAAGAAAGAAATATGAATGTGGATTATGAATTAGGGGCCATTTAGACAAGAGAGGTAAGGAAGGGAGAGCCCACCCAGACTGAACTTCTAGCAAGATTTGTATAAACTGGCAGGATAACAGCCAGACACCAAGTACTGGCCAGGAATGAGCCAGACTCCTAACCCCAGCACAAGACTAAACGTATTTAATCATAACAGCAATATCCTCATGTTACTGGTTCAACATAGCAACACATCTAGGGAGCCTGGAACTAGACTTAAAACCGAGTCACCTGACTCCAGGGCCTGAGGAGGTATTTGGTGGGCACATTCTTCAGAAAGAGACCTAGAAGCAAATCATCCTCAGAGAAGCATCTGCCTCCTGCCTCCGCTTTCTTCTGTCTCTCATGTCTCTAGCATTGGGATAATGGGACCATGTACTATGGCTGAAAGTGAAGCTGAAGCTAATGGCATTACAAGTGTACACAGCGCTTGGAAAGTCAGCTTAGTTACCCCCATAACTCCAGCTGTGTTCATGGGTACCCAGACTCTGTCATCACTGTAGGATCTTCCTCAGTCTGTGACGATTCTCTCTCTTGGTCAGCAAGTCAACAGAACATCCAAGAAGCATTCTTGGAAAGGGTTAATGCAAAAACTGTTTTTTCTAGCCCCGGTGTTCTCCTTTAGGGTGATGGATCCCAAATCAAAGAGTCACTAACCATAAATAATGCATCAGGTTTTCACCAAGAATCAGTTCAGCAAGAAAAACAGAGAAGGGCCCTTTAACTCCCTGGCTTGCAAGAGGCCCTTATGATTAATACATTTATCTTCTTTTAGATGAATACCCCATAGCAAGAGGCGATGATTATCAAATATTGGATAGATCTGCGAATATCCAGACTGTATCAAAGTGCTCTGAGTGGTTGCAACAACATCCGGATTCCAGAATCTTCATCTGTTGTGAGTTTTAAAGGACTGCAATAGCTCTAGCACAGCAGAAGAATATGAGATGGGGACCCCAATTTTTAGAAAGTCAGAAGACTTGAAAAAGTCTTATAATTACACAAATCAATTCAATATAGCACATTATTTACTATGAGGCAGATACCATACCAAAAATAAAATATATAAAAAAGTTGCATATCCAATTGAAGAAACAGATATGTATAAAAGACAATTGTCTTGCAATAGGAAAGGCAAGAGGCAAGCAGCACAAATGCCTAAGAAGAAGTGACAGATTGCTCTCCCTAAGGAGAGAGGTTAAATGAGGGATCTGGGAAAGCTGCCCAGAGGAAGCAACATTTGATTTGAGACTTGCAGGTTGAGGAAGACTCCCCCTTAGAAAAGAAGAATGGGAAGAGGCTTCCTAGATGGAGGGGATGGAGGGAAGAACACAAGGCATTCAGTCCTAAATTCAGCCATCTTGGAGGCTCCCATGGGGCAGATGTTAAAGGGCCTTGCCCACTATGTTAAGAACCCTGGTACGCTGTAGGAAATGGGGTAGCTCCTAAATTGTGAGAGAGTTGCCCTATCAAAGCAGATGTATCCTTTCCAAAGCCAGCCATGCAAGGATGGTGAGACTGGACCAGCATGGCCAGCTGCTGAAGGCTAGGGCCCTGGCACAGAATAAAGGGTCTTCCCTGGGCACTGAGGGTAGGCTGCAAAGGGTGGGAGTGCAGCCTCTGCAGATGTCACAGGAGGACCCAGCACGAGGCTGAAGATGTAGCTCAGTTGCTATGGAGTTTACCTAATATTCACAAAGCCCTTAGTTTATCCCCAGCACTGGGTAAGTCCCAATGCTGTGTGTCACATGCTTATAGTCCTAGCGCTCAGAAAGTAGAGGCAGAAGGATAAGGAGTTCAAGGTCACTCTCAAGAGTTTGAGGCTTGACTGGGGTACAGGAGACTGACAAGAAGAGATGTGGAAGCGAGGGCACAGGAGGAAGCAGGAAGTGGGGTCAGGTACTGCCCCGGTGTTCCCTGACACCACACACAGAAACAGCTCAGATGAACAAATTAAGAAGACAAAATCGAAGTGATTGAAGGTGCACTCAGGACCAACTGTACCCACAAAGCCTCGTGCTGGAGGCTCCATGCCCTACCATCTCTCTAGCTTCGGACCTGGAGACTATGGTCACAGTACAAGTAGCTACATCCCTCCCCCCTTACCCCTGCCTGAGGAGCGTCACCTGTCACCTCCTTTCAAATCTTTACCTTATGGAAAAAAAAAAACCCTGCTCTCATCCTGCCATCCTCTCAGCCTCCCTCCCCATTGCCTCTCTCCCTTCCAAAGTAATCCTCTCCTCCCACTCCCCATCCACTCCCATTCACACATGGCATCTTGCTAGAAATAGCAAGAGTAGGGCAAAGAGCAACAAATCCAAAGTGAAGGCAATCTATGTTCCAAGCCTGATTTAGCCCACCAGCTGGCTGTAGACACTACCTGACCTCAGGCTACTTTGTGGCCTCAAATAAAGTGAAAAACAAATATTAGCCTTCGCTTCTTTAACAGCCTTAGTCCAAGGACAGAACACAAGCAGGGAGCTAACACCAGTCAGAGGCCAGGCAGGATGCAACAGGGCTCTCCAGCAGGAGTGTCCACTAACCTGTAAGTTCTTGGAGGACAAGAGCCAGACCACTGGGGTCTTGGGGGTGGGGTCTACTTTTTCCTGGTACAGAGTGAGTGCCTGTTAGGGACTGGGCAGAAACCATTGTCACCCTGACTTCCATATATCCACAAGGTTGCTCTTGCCAACCCTACAACGGTGCAAGCAATGCACCCCCACAATACCCCACTTTGGAAGCACTGCTTTTCTCCTAGCTTATTCCAAAAACAGCCCGTTCCTGGAGGAAAACCAAGCGGTAGTCACGAGGCCTGGATGCATCGCTGGGCACGTTTGTTTGACCAAGTCTGTGTTCCATCCTTTCTCCAAGGAAGTTGCTGAGAGCTGAACCTCCTCTGTCCTTCTTTGATTCATTGTCCCTCCAAGGGGCCCCAGCTGGGTATTTTCCTACCAAGCTGCCTTTATGCCTCCTTCCCTTCCCCCACCCCCCCTCTCTCTGTGTGTGTCTCTCCCCGCCCCCTCGCCCCCCCAGCCCCCACCGCCGCCTCTACTGCTGTTTTCATTGATGCCTTGAGCAGAGCTGGCATGTGCGACTGCTGAGAAGGGGGAGCGTGGAGCAGCGGGGGAAGCAAGTAAAAATAGCCTGTCGCGCGTCGCTCTGCCTGCTCCGGACGCCTTTAACCCTCACGGAGAGGGAGAGAGCCGCAGCCGCCACTGCACACTGCGGAATGTGACCCGGGTCTGCACCAGACTTCACGCGCCAGTCCGGGTGATGGCAGATCAGGACCCAGGAAAACTTTTTTATTTTTATTTTTTTAAGACAAGCAGAACTGAGGTGGGGTAGGGAAACCGAGGGGAAGAGCTAACAGATACCGAGCTTCAAGGACTGCGACGTGCCTGGTCCAACGCTTTACCAGAGCGCGGCCTTGAGACTTCAAGCTATTTTTAGAAACCTGTTCCTCGGGTGGGCGATCAAAGGGCGGAGGGGGAGGGGAATGGAGAGAGTCGCTCTGCTGCGATGTGGAGCGCCTGGTACTGTACTCGGTTTCAAAGGTCTGCTCTCGGGCTGGGGGTGGGCAAGAGGATGGGCTAAGGAACGACACGCGGGCTGGTTTTGCCCTAACTCAAGGAGAAAAAAAACATTAGCTGCTGAATGCCCCTTGTCTTTCAAGCCTTAGAGCACGTTTATTTAAAAAAAATCGACAGTTGCCAGAAGCATGCTGCCTCTAGTGCCCAGGAAATGGGGATTCTTAAGCTTTGTTGCTTACACTGTGGGGTGGGAATGAGTTGTGACCTCTAGGAAAGAAGGCCGGGAAGGGTCTTCACATTGTTTTTGCATTCCCGCAAGGCCGGGACAGTTGCCGCGCCACACCCCCATCCCCGCCCCACGCTGCATATGGGTTACCGTATGTGAAATGTACGGCAGCCCCACCAGACACCGGGCTATTAATAGAGCCCCGGAGTTTGCTCTGTGTCTTTTTCCTGCCACCGAATAAGGGATGATCACACACACCCCACTCCGCCCCCACCTCGGCGCTCAGTTCCTCCGGGAAGGTAAGGGGGCTGCCCACGCCGATTCCCTCTGTGACTACAGGTGCCCAGATCCGAGGAACCATCCCACTGTAATGACAGCGGGGTCAGAGCAAGAGGAAAGAACAGGCTTGCTGGGGACTCAAAGCCCCGCTGGGCTCTCTGAAGATCAGGGACAACTCCGGAGTAGAGAAAGGGCAGTTAAGGGGCTGCCGTGAGGGCTGGCAAGAGTATCATTTGCGGAGCTAGAGTGGCCTCCTTAAAAGCTGCTGCGGGACAAGTGGCCTCAGACCCGTTTTGCGCCGCAGCCTACGGCTGGCAGCCCCCACCGCCTGTGCAGGCTCTGCTGCGGCAGGCGCTGTCCCTGGTGCTGAATGGGGCCGCGGCTGGTGAGCCCTCCCCGGGTTCCGCGCTCCCGCGTCTCCTTTAGCATTTCTGAACTGCCGACCTCCAGTCCAACCCCCGGTGTGGGCTCGAGGGATCTGGTTGTTGGTGCTTGAGTACCGCCACCAGGTCGGCCCCCTGAGGCCGGGAGCTCTCCGCGGTGCTGCAGGGACCCGGAGGTTGGGGACCGCCTCGAGCTTGAAGGGTAAAGCCCAAGGCAGCGGTGGGAGATGGTCGAGGTACTGCAGGGAGCAGACCTGGCCCTAATATAACCCACCCCAGCTCTGCGTAAAGCCGGGATCCGAGATTACTATCGGAATTCAGTGCACAGGGGCTGCCCAGGGTCTGAGACTTGGGGGAGCAGGAAGGGAGCAGCGGGTGGCAGGAGAGGGTGATGGGGGTGAAAAAGACTTTTACATTTGCAAGCGGGGGCAGATGAGACATGCACCGTCGCCCCCCACCCCTACACTCCTCTCTCTCTCTCTCTCTCTCTCTCTCTCTCTCTCTCTCTCTCTCTCTCT